TAATAATATATATAATAACAATATATATAATAACAATATATATAATAATAATATATATAATAATAATACATATAATAATAATATATATGATATTATATACAGCTCAGTGACGTGGACCACTGATCACTATATACTAACTATAGACTAATATACTATAACTATTACTATAACTATACTTAATTTATTACTATAACTATATAGACTGTTAGTATATACAGCTCAGTATAGAGACCAGTGGCATGGACGAGCGCAGGTTGCACTACTAGCGCTACGTACGCTCATAGGGTCTATGTCCCCCTGGGTACTGCCGGGGTACTGCCGGAACGTACCCTGGGTACGGTCCGGTATACCGGAACGTACCCTGGTCACTATCTGATATGGTTAGGGTTAGGGTTAGGGTTAGGGAGTAGGCGTAGGCGCCAGACTCGTTAGTGGAGTAGGCGAGGTACGGTCCGGCATATTAGATAGTACCAGGGTATACCGGACCGTACCCAGAGTACGTTCCGGTATACCGGACCGTACCCAGGGTACGTTCCGGCAGTACCCCGGGGGACATGCACCCTCTCAGCTGCACTACTAGCGCTATACGTACCACGACCGCAGCTAGCCAGGGATTCATGAGTACGAGTGTGATGATGATGAAGGTTACGAGCGTCGTGACGATGAGAGCCACCATCAGGTAGTGTCGCAGATGCATGTACTGCTCCCAGAACGTGAACGGCACTCCTGCAACACACACACACACACATACACGTATGACGTACGTTCACTAGCAACGCACAATATATTCAAAGATAATGCATACGCAATAAACAGTAGAACGTAAGAATGATTATTATCAAGAATTATTTTTGCATGCATATATATATATGCAGTAGCACTAGCAGCAGCAGCAGCAGTAGCAGCAGCAACAGCAACACCATCAGCAGCAGCAGTAGCAACAGCAGTAGCAGCAGCAGCAGCAGCAGCAGTAACAACAGTAGTAGCAGCAGTAGCAGCAGCAGTAGCAGCAGCAGCAGCAGCAGCAGTAACAA